TGTAATAGCTATACATGCACTCTCTGAACTTTCGTCAAACTATTAAATAGTACGGTCTACTCTCTGTAGGAACTTTGAACAATAATAGCTGAGTATACCCTTCAGCTATCCAACAAAAGTTGTAGAAATCTAATGAAGTGAAGGAATGAAATCAATAGTATGAAAAAATGTGGTGTTTTTTCGTGGACAGGTCGATCAGCCAAGATATACATAAGATTGTTTTTGACATCTGAATTTCGTGTAAAGCAATTTACGCGCTTACTATGTGGTGAACACCAATTTGGAAATTACTTAAATTACTAGCTTTCGAAATCGCTAATCTATACATCTCTCGGACACGACACATTAACTGAAATCTTAGCGCCTTAAACACTGAAATCTGAAACAATATATATAGCTATTACATTAGTATACGTCCATGCAGCATGCCTTATTTTTGTGCAATTTGCATCCTACAATATACAAAGCTACTGTTACTGAAAATAGACCATGCATCTGAATATGATCATTCTCAATGCATGCATGGTTCATCTTGGAGTTGCACTAAAACAAATATATTTTATAACACCATATTTTATATCACCACATATCATCAAAATTCATGTAAGTTATTAAACGAGTTACAATTAAAGTGACATTATATTTGTAAATATTGAAAAGTATATATATCAGCGAGCATTGCATGTGTTACCATTTTGAAACAGTTTCTATTCTTGTAAATATATGCAGATCAGTGAATGCAAAAAAGTATTTATACGAAAAATATTCGAGAAATTTTCAATAAACCGCTTTCTATTAACACCTAAAAAATGGTGGTTGCTGTAGCAATTCTTTATACAAGCATGATTAGGTTATCACTCAAAACGTTACTTGGACCTATATCCATGCATTAGACCTATCAGTAACTTGGCATAAATGACGCTCCTCAACCTCGCCACTGCTGGCAGTCCAAAATTGTTGAGTCAAAATTTCCAGATGAAATATCTGGGCTGAGAGCCAACTACTGAATTATATAAGATTTTGGTAGCTCAACCATGCAATAACTCAGTAATTTCACCCACAACCTGTGTCCACTAGTGGCACATCTGGTGGTGATATGGTAAATCTCAATTAAAGTTAAGGCATTATAGCATAGGCACAGATATACTTATATGGACGACACGTATCGCACTCCAACTATTTTTATAACTCGATAATTACCCATCAAATTTTGATCGAAAACCAAGACGAAAAGAGCAAGTCCAGATAGACTCATGCGACAGGCATATATTTCTCAGCCGGAGTGAAATAGGAGTTGACATGCACAACAGCAAAAGCTATAGGAGTTCTCGAGGAAACACAGCTATTGCTCCAAGATATACTTGGATTTTGTTTCAGAATCACATGTGTATATAAATGGCATTCTTCCAGAGGCAGAGTATCTTTAAGTCGATGCTATATAGTATGTTTATAACTAATCAGTATTATAACTACTCCCACAAGTAAATCTTTGCGTAGGCGTATACGTATAGTTAATATAAACACAGCTTCGGAATCGCACAGGGATAGTTTCATTCCTTCCGAAAGATCAGTTGAATTCGCAATAATCTCGCAGTTTGCATTGCCTTAACATTTCTAATATTATAACCTCCGATCTCCTAAATATAGCCATCTAAAATACTACGGTAATGAACAATGAAAAGATTTCAGTATATCTATAAGTATACTGTATAACTCTGTATGGAATTCTTATAGTTTGTTTATATAAATACAGATTTAAAACAATGTGCAAAGAATAGCAGCTACAAGGCTTTCAATATGCGAGTTCGAGTTGACTATCTTTGGTGCAAAAGTTAATGAAAATAAAGTCGAAGATTATGCACGGATCGACTGCAATTTAACTGTAAAAACGCGTAGCTAAAACAGTTAAGAATCAATTATCAGCAATCAATGAAAACATGCGTCTCGCGTCTAGAACCTCATCAGCCATCACCCAAAGTTAAGGGATTTAATTACGTTGTCGACATTCGATCAATTTATATTTTGACATGCATGGATTTCAAGCAGCTACTGAAAATAAGACGGCCAAACGTGTCTTCTCAAGCTGTCTGAAACCTTTCAAACTGAAATTATTATTTAAGATCGTCTGTACATATAAAGTCTTCCTCGTTCAGGAGCAAGGCATTGTGGGCTATAAGGAAACCATTGAGATACTCCCTCTTACTAAGCACAGTACAAATTTGGTGCAAGTATGAAATAAAATAACTGTAAGCACGGAATCATGATGCTATTTTCGTCATTCCATCCATTCGTTACAAACTTCTCAGAGGTTCTAGATGCTCGACGATTTCAAATTCGCTGTGACAGAGATGGGTACATACTACATTATCTGCACGCATAGATGTCAAAAGCACTTGAACTTTTACTTTAACCTAATTTGCGACATACATTTACTTTTTAATATTGACCATATAGGCTACGCTTACTCTCTTTCGATCTAAAGGACTTCTGAAACGAATGCAAATAACCGTATTTTCGATTGTTAAGCGCGCAAGAATTGCGGAGAAATAGGAACATAGGAACCAACTGCTTGCACTTGTGACGTCAACTGTAATAAGTGCTTTTTTCTGGGATTTTGAAGCTCTTTTTTATCGGAGTCCTGCGTGCTGAAGTCCTAAACAACACAACAGTGTCCTAATTTGTAAACAAAGAAATAACGCAGTATTGGAAATAGACCATTCATAATTGTCCGTGAGTTTTAAATAGATCATTGATTTGATCTTTGCATGTACATATACTCGTAAAAGAACACATTCCTATTTTCTATTTATACATTGTAAAGACGTAACGACGTCAGATCAAATCAAATAACATGCCACGTGCTTGATGTCTGAACTAATTGAAAAAATGAATAACACTTAACATGCATGTAACGCACGAAGACTCTTGCCAAGATATTGTAATTATACCGCTGTCGTAGCACGAAAGACATTTCATGCGACACATTTTGGGTAGTTTGGACTTTCCTATTTTTGTGCTAAGATTGGGTCTGCGTAATATTCGAGGTGTTAATTTCAGTCCACATGGATATGCAAAATATGTACGATAACAAACTTAGCATGCTGCAATTTCTATACGGCCATATATAGTGTAAAGTTTGTTTCAAATAATTCTGCAAAACACCCACTTGGTTTCAAGGATTGCTGTGAGTCTGTTGATGTATTCCTAAAGACTAAGATCAGCTAGATTTCACACTACGGTTATATTTTGCAAACTTATGACGCTATCAACTGCTCAAAGTCAAATCAAACGAGTCCATAGTGTACATAATAGAAATACAGAATGATTTGAAAAGTCAAGCCAGTTCTATTGGGATAATGATAAAAATTCATGTAATTTCATATGAAGAGTGCATGTGCAGTGTGCTAATCATCCCTGGTACTATGACGCAGCTAAGACAGGCAATGAGGTCAATTTTTGAAGACGCTGCTCAAAACGATAAAAAAATTGTGAGAAATTTAAAATTCCGCAATTACAGAGAAGAAAATTGTACAAATGTACAACTACGAAAACAGTGAGTGCGACACGGTTATCATTTTATCAACGTTAAAAGCGATAAAATCTCTGGATAAAATGGCTTGCGATGTATTCTTTAGCCATACATCAATCATAATTAATCATTTCGGATTATGTATAGGCCGATGCCGATGGCGATGGCGATGGGTAATGCATAATATCGTTTAAAATGCAACTAAGGCAACAACAGACGTCTCGTTTTCCTTCAAAAGTACTCCTCGGTCTGTTTTATTGTGTTTACGCGAAAAAATTGACGTGATTTTTTGATTCGGAGCCTTCGTGAAAACTAGACCATGCATGTCACCAGCTTTTCAACGAGTTCACTGACTTGTTTACCGTGTATGGCTTTCAAGACGAACTGGACAGGGGAATACGCAATACGAAATCTTGCCTTTCCTATCAAATTTGGATGGAAATCATGAAATTGCCACGAACTATACCGACAAAAGGTTCTTGCAGTTTAACAATTAAAAATATGTACTTCTAAACCAGCGGGAAAACTTATGTTATACTTTGAACTTGCAAATAAATCGCGCTCGTTGAAACGGTATAACTCCTATATATATGTACAGTCTCAGATTCGAATATTACAATGACTATATATATATATAATATATAACTTATTTGATTGGCTAATTCCTTCTTAGCTTTGGTCTCTAAGATTTTTTTCATATGTAAACCTTAGGTAGATCTGAAAAAAATGAGTAATTCTGACACAAGTCTGCATGCATCCATTGTCAACAAGCTAGCTTCTTAGCTCGTCGTATTGTGATTGCAAGCGTTTATATAAACAATGCTGTACGTTGACCTGCCGTATGTAGTGCTATTTCGGAGTTTCAAAGGGCCGAGATTGAAAGCATTGAAAAGTCGTACAAAAATTGCATGAATGGAAACAAAACACACGATAAAGACACTTCATCAAAACAAACAAAGCACCTTCTCTGCATAATGTAAAGTTAAAAGGTCTGTCGCTCCAAAACGACACCGCGCCTTTATTTTTTAGGTCACTAGGCATAAGACAAGACTATATAATAATAAATAATAATGAATATTTTTTATATACACGAAATAATATTTCTTTTAGTGCCACTGGGTTTTGCATGCAGATTTACATATACATTGTTTGATAATCAGGATTAGGAAGAGCGGTTTTAAATGTAGCTACGTTGAAGTAGTATAAAAACTCTTTAATGCTGCATCGTTACTATTCTTAACAAGCATATTTGACATATGTGCCAAAAATAGCTTGAAAATGTTACCCCACTATATGCGTCAATTAACTTGCACGAATAGTTCGTGATCTCCAGTCACGAAAATTTTTATGCTGTCCGCGGCGCGAAATAAGGAAACGCCATTCGCTTATTCAGCTAGCATTTCTTCTTAGCTACAATATATTAGAAGTTCGTAGATATTGACGGATGGTCACAAATAAAACATTTACTTACATATTTCAATACGTACACCAATTGATGTGAGCTGATCCACTTTACTTCTAAGGAACAGTAGTGAAGGCACATTTCATTGAAAGGATGGGTACCTGAAAGAGAATAAAATCGGCTTAGGGACATAGCCTGTATACAGATTCATAATTCGAAAGTTAGAAAAAGTGAAAAGCGTGGACAGTATTCGAGGCAAAGTATGCAATTTATTAAAGCAAGCATATATAGTATTTATGATAGAAAGACAATCCAGTAAAGAAAGGAGTTAGACGCAAGGAACGCAAGGGCTTTTACAGATTATTTAGGACCTCAATCTACTTAATTAAAACATTGTTTGTTTAAGCAGTGTCTGAGAACGCGGGTAATTTCCAAACGTAGAGCCATAATGATAATTGTGAATGTATGTCGAAGGTTTACTAAGGGTGGACGATTTTAGAAATGTTTTTTGACATCTGCTCGTATTTTATTGACTGGTTACGAAACTATGCTGAGAAAAATGTGATCACTTAGCGTTGGATGGCTCAAACTGAGCATCGTGCGAAAGGCTTCAGATGCATTTCAAGAGAGTATCATACTACATAGATTAGTATGCGTAAAACTGTCATCTATGCAGTTGAGAGGTTTGGAAAGGAAAGGAACTTTTCATAAGCATAGCCACGCCATCACGCAACGGATTATGATGATCGGGAATAGTTGAGAATATCTGCATGCAGGGATGCAAATCAGATATGTTCATGGGAAAGCCATGGAGTTTTTATACACTTTGTGAATGAGACAATCAATGTTTTGGAAATGGTAATTGAAATTATATAAAATAACAAAAAAGCAGGATAAAATCTAGATCCATAGAATTGATTCAAACTTCTTCATTGTCATCGAGTAAATTTCTTTTCAAATTGACAAAGATGGATGACCGAATTGCGTGCCTGCACTTTTTTGCATGAACAGTTTTTGCATGTGTCATAGTGTATATATATAGATCAGTGGTTATATCTAATCAATCATATCAAAATATACAAGACTTTCAAAAATTCACTTTCTAAATATAATGAACAAAACTATTTCTGTCCGTAATTAATTTCCACTTGAAACAACTCATTTCTACTCTTTATAAGCATGATTGGATTATCACTAAAAATAGCTGGAAAAAGTTACAGATCTTTACAGTGGTGAACAATATTGTCATCAGCGACGTTCTCGTCAGCGACGTTCTCATCACGTGCAGTATCGCTTGTTGGCCGCCTTGACTGATTGTAAAAGCAAACGTCCACTTACAATATAATCGGGTTGTGAACAAGAAAGAAGAATTGAGAATTATTTATCTCTTTAAAAATGGACAATTCTTTCCACAATGCACACCAAAAGAAAGCTCTCTCTTGTCAAATGCGAAAAACAAAATTAAACCCCGAGTAAAAATTAGGGTCATATAATTATATATTTGGAGACAAACTCCAAATCAAGAAAGGACCGATGCGATTGAGGCGGGTAATTATATCTATGATTAAATAAGCAGTATTCATTGCAACACGGAAGTCCGGAACATCTCCATTCCTTCATCGAAAATGTTTTCACTTTTTCTAATCTCAGAAATGGCGAACAGGTGTATTTCAAATGACATATTTCAAATGCGTGCACCATGCATTTGGTATACCAGAGCTGTAAACCATCAGCACACTGATCAAATATTTGTAGACACATGTCATTTTAATGAGGCTAAATCATGCTGTAGACTTCCCATGACATGCGCTATTGAAATACTTATAGACGTGTACTTTCCCCTAATCTATTTGGAATCTCAGCTAGACTGATCTGATTGTTGATGAGCTTTAGTTTATGTACATAATATATATATAGAAATAAATTCTGATTTTCCGATAAGTTCTTTGTTTTAGTTATAAGGGTCTGCATGCAATATCTCCCCGTGCAAAGTACTTGTGGTGAACATAAATTTGACACTTAAAATTTATTACGTCATCACAAAGCTGATATCATGACCTTCAATTTCCCCTATCGCGTTTTTAAAGTACGTGGCAACGTAGAATCTTAAATTTAAAAGACTGAAAGACACATTTAAGACACCCGAAAGAACAGCTGTAGAGTTCTGTTTTCCGAATGTTCTATAGTGAGTTTTTGATAACAAAAATTATAATACGTTCGGAAACGTTAGTTTATTTGCTATCGACTCAATATGTCGAAGCAAACACTGCCTTATCTATATTGTCCACTTGTCCTAAATACACTATAATGCATATAAGAGACATCAACAGGAAGACATGGATGGTTTTGTCAGAACTTCTTGAAATATATGAAATCTCTTAACGTATGTCGAACGCGCGAGAAGCAACTAAGAATCATTTCTCTGAGAGCTATAGAGATCATATTGGGTTGGGCCTTTTCATTTAAACATTTGGGTAATTCAGACTTTCGTGCCCCTGTATATAAGATTAGGTCTGTGAGGTATTCGTGATGTTAATTTTAGTTTAACCAAATGAATATATGCAAGGTATGTAGAGGGGTAAGTTAAGCGTGTGTTGAAAAAATATATTTTCGTCCAGCCATATATAGTGTAGAATTCGTTCGTAATATTTATGCCAAAAATTTTTCGGGATCACGGATCCGATTTCGGTCCAAAGTTTATCAACACCTAATACAATGCTGAACTCGTTCTAATAGCGTGCATTTTTATCATTTTCATTTAACAGCTAGTCCTAACTGAAAAGCACATGCCGTGGATTGATTTATTCTAGCTCTATCTCTTTGTGGCCAGACGTGATCCAGCTTGACTTTTGTCTATTAATCGCGTCATAAATATCGAAAAATATTGAGAGTATGACTCACAGGCCTACTTTCAATCATCGTAAAAAGACGGCTGACAGCAATTCACGGCGAAATGGTTAATGAACGCAAGAATGTAAGTACCTGTTGAATTTCGCGACAGTGTGGCCTTTTTGCCGCCATAACTGCTCAGGATACAAAGACAAGAGTATAGGAAAGTATTCAACGAAGAGCTTGGTTATAATAGACCACAAATTTTTTATTTTGACACAACGTTTTAAAGAAGAAACTAGCTGAAATGCTTGTCGGCCAGGCAATTTCCCAGGCTCGACGTCATTAATAACATAATAATTGATCATAATGCATAGATCAGTAACCTTTTGAAGCTATTTTTACACAATAAACCAATCATCAGGTTGTAAAAAATGTAAGTATGGGTGTGCAGTTTGCTGATCGTCCTAATACTTGCACGCAACTGAGAGTTGAACGGTGAGGTCATTTTAAAGGATACTAATTTGACTCGTGGTACACAGTGTATATTTTAATAATCTAGCCTTACAAGTATCAGGGAACTGCTAATATATTAGGCAGGAAATAAACATGCATGTTTACACTGCAAGTATAAATAGCTATTATGGATACGTAAAAGCGATGAAATGGGTGCCATTTAAATATAAGCATGCATTAATCATTATCAATCAATCGATGAAAACGATACCGACACATGCATAATGACCGTAAGATCCTTGAGACGAGCACAAGACGAATATGACAAGGTTTCTTAGAAACGTTTTTTGCTCGCGTGTTTACCCGAAAAAAAAGACGAGCTTTCCTTGACAACGAACGAGACATGTTCAAATGCTGGTCGTGCCAGCCTTTCAACGCGGAAACTCCCAAGGAAACACATGCATGCGAAACGCGAAATTTTGCTATGCAAGTTGAATCCACCGGCACGTGCATGGTTATATATAACCCGTTGTCTCATAAAATTGAATTGAATTGATCGAAAAATTGTTTTCAGTGTAGCAGAACAAGAAAAATTATGAAAAAAAGTCTGCAAAAAAATGGTACTATATTTATATAGCAGCAGTCTATAAAATGAATATTTTCCCACTGATTTTCCTGAAAGACTCAAGTGTTTTCGGTTAGTGGTCTGCACGTACTGCGTTGCTAATTCAATTATCGATGTCTTTTCGAAAATGTAAACTTTGAACTCTAAAAGCGAAATAAAAAGAAATATAATGGATCGTCCTGTTTAATTTTAGAAAATTGCCTTTATATAGGAAGACGATATTCTACTTGAGCTTTTTTTCGGTCTGAATTACTTATCCTTATATACAGAGCTAAATTGCATGGAACACGCATATATGAATGCATGCATTGTTGTCAGCAATGCCTGGTGTTTCATTAGCCATAACCTCCAACTTAACCATATATAGGGTGGAATTTTATATGTTTGCGTTCTGTTGAAGTAGAATACATACAATTTTACTTAGGCGAACTTGGATCCTAAATATATATAGCTATAGCTACGATATAGGTTCAAACAAGTAAGGTGTTATTTAGACTATACATACATGTCAAGCTAAGACTATCTCCTATACATGTCAAGCCAATCATTCGTAAAATCATCTCAGTATACTGAGATGATTTTACGAATCATTAGCTTGACATGTATAGTCTACATCTTTAATAAATTATCTTAAATATGTAGCTACTATATTCTATAAACAGTAATGTTGCAATATCATATGGTAATGAAATGTGGCTATATAATTTATAATCGTCAATAATTATATACATGCAAGTAATGTATTTTTGGAAGTTTCAATGTGACTTATTATCTTGATTTCCAGAATATTGATTTCCATGATACATTTCCAACTTCTATAATACAATGTCAAACCTGTTTCTATATTTATATTCTAGACAAATATATAGTTTGTCACAAAAATATCGTTAATAATACTGTCGGGCAATTATCGTGTGGTTTATGCATGGCGTCGAGTCAAACTATATATACATGCTAATGCCTTCATCTATAAAGACTGAATGTTTCGGCTAGTCGGCTCAAACAAATTTCTTCATTTTGTCCTCCATACATGCACGCAACGTTTTGGCATGAAAGGTTGAGATTGAAAGCATAGCGGATTCAGCTTTGGCAGTGCATACGGTTGAGGATTGTATGCAAGCGCGAGCGTCACTCATCAGACTCATTTTCGATCATAAGGAAATGTGTCCACCATTGAAAGAATTCTAGGATTTCGCTTCTTTCTATAATGAAATTATCTTCATCAGGTGTAGACTCCCCGGACGTTTCTTAAAAGTATAGGAAGTCTGAACGGAGCTCATTATGTATACTTTCGCGGTTTTGGCCAACGTTTGATTGAAGTCGGATCTCGGAAATTTAACGATATTCTAGATCTAGTGATAACTGGAAACTCTGTTTTAATTAACTTAAATCTAAATTTAGTGAAACGAAACCTTCAGTTGAAAACACGTAAAATTAGTTTGAGTCTGGTTTTCAAGAACAGTCGATGATAAAAATATAACTTTAAAACAGTTAATTCTATACGCGTACTTGCATGATAAAGTCAAAGAACGAAGGGCAGATATGAGATAAATGAGATTAAATAGTTATTATAATATTTATATGTTTAAAGATAAAAATTTAAACAACCCATTGGATTCCATATGTTGTATTTAGACGAGTTTTAGAACAACACGTTTGTTGGATAATAGATTCTAAAAACTAATTTATAGCCTATACAGCCTTATAGGCAAGACCATACAGACAAACTGGCGTCGAATTGAAACTGACATGGCTTCCAAAAATGTATCAATACAATATATGCTCATGTATATATCTCCGAATTTGTTGGCAATACGAAGCGTTGTTGAATAAAAAATGTTTAATTATAATTTAAACAAAAGAACTCAGACCGAATTACATAAGCTCATACTAAACCCATAGCTTTTAACCTCCCCTGTATGAGTACTTCATCTTCGTTCGACTGACGCGTAGTATAGTTTTCGAGATTATTTAGTTATTATTTACATCTGAAATATTGTTTGTCAGAAAAATGCTGCAATTGACCTATCCCCGTCAAAAGACACGACACCTGCAATGGCTGCATGCGAACTTTGTGTGAAAGAAGTTTATTTTTGTTTAGTTTATTTAGTTTATTTTTTAAACCCAACTATTTCATTGAGTTTTCACTTCGAGTGATTTCACCCTGCATGAACTTCCCTCGTTATAGGTTTGAATGCGGGCCAAGAACAGTGTAACCGCTAAGGCATTATTGGCCCGAATTGCAGACGTTGATGATAGTTTTATTAAAGAAGCCAAACCGGCCGAAGTTGGCCTCGCAAACATGAAACATTTATGATTGGTGGAGCTTTTCTCGCTCAAAGGCGAATTTTTATGGTAGAATGTTGGGATAAGAACGCAATCCATATTAAAAATATTGCGTATACTGTGTTCACATGTTTAGTTCGCCCTTACTGTTGAATGACAAAGGTCACTGTAAAATTACCCGGTACTTACACATTTCAATGCCCCAGTTGATTTGTGCTGTAAATCTGCTATATACTCCAATAAATAGATCGATGATCTACTTAGTCTACGCATCTGCCATATATACTCTTGGTTTAATTACCTGTTAGAGGTCAAGGCGACTAAAGTGAGCATAGATACTGATGTAAAGATCCGCCTTGCACCCTCAGCTCGGATAGAAATATTGAAAAGGGACCAACGGATATATACGATAGGTATTCGAGAAAAGAGAGAGAGGGATAGTACTCATAATGAATCTGTTGATATACAGTTGCGTATAATATTCCTCGAGGCTGGTTTTCATGTTATAACTTGTCTAAAAATAGAGCCGCAAGGACGAAACGATGAATTCGACCACGCAAGGGCGCGTGTTTCAGCAGAATCATCAATGCATGCATGCATGCATGCGGTACTATACTCCTAAACATTATGGGAATCCAATTCATTGTGCTATTCACTGTATATCAGATCACATTGATCAGATTATAACGGCCAAAAAATCCAACATGTTCATGATGAGAATCAATTAAGGAAGTACAACAAATCATAAAGATGTATAGGAAAAAATAGCTGAGAACAGGCGCCTTTTTTGCATAAGTGTACGTATATAGGCGCTTTCAAATATATTACAAGAAAACTTAGCGATTAAATAAAAAGACTTGCTAAAATGGCTACAGTACAGATCCTTGTTGAATTTATAGTGGACTCGTTCTGTTTAAAGGAGTGATAAATATCGCGTGATGCACAAATATAGAGAGCTGCATGACAGGCACTGCGCAGTTTGGTAAATCGTTCAAAACTAGGAATGAATTAGGCCCAGTTACTTCCTTATCATGGGCTTCTACATTTAAAGGCATAATAGAAGTTTCATCATCAGCATATATATCAACATGATAAATATACATCTTAATCGTAAACACTAGTGTTCTTACCAAGAAGCCTATCACAATCTACTGTTTTGTCGAACGTGTTTGTATAAGTTCACCAAAAACATCGATGTTCTGGGTATGAAGAAACCTTATATTCAAGGTTCAAAAACTATATTACCAGACAAAGTGGCTTTAATTCATTCGCCCAAACTCAGGAGTTCTCGCTATATACGTAACAAAAACCGCCCTATATAGCTATATAGCTCGTGCCATAAATGAGCGCATGTCTAATTTCATTTATTTTATTAAGGATTTTGATTATACATTCATATATAGATGTGACTTACAGATATACTTGACTATTTTATTTTAGCTATAAATAATATTTCTAAACATTTCTGATATTCTGATTTATAAATACTTTGATTGATATAAAATCATGATATAATTTGTACAATTAAATAAATTATGGACGGTTCGCTTATTGCTATAGAATTCAGCTCAGTCTACAGTTGCCGGTTATATATAATTGCTGTTTAAATTTTTGCAATGTTTTCAATTTTTCGACTAGCTACTGATTGTCCTGATTAGTCACCGTCTTGAATTTGATTTCCATATCACCTTGAATTTCTCGATATCAAACACGTCACATTCTTACGGTCTAAAAGTCAAGAAAGATGTGAGTCGTTATTATCGAAAAGCACAAATATCTCTAACACAAAGACTTCAAGATAATAATAATAATAATAAATACTTATTCATCTTTTATTGCCTAAAGACTCCACAGTATATATATGATTAGTCATCCATCATGCATCTCAAATCAACTTCAAATTTT